TATATTCGAAAGAAAATAAAAGATAAGAATTTGATCGCGAAGTATACAGCGCATATACGCTTCACACATTCACAGCCACCGTGTACAATCAACACGTTGCAGGTGGAAGAAAAATTTGTCGACGCGAGCGACCTTAATTAGATGAAGCATAAAATGGGCGGCGAAATCTTCCTCATTACGCTAACGATGTGCAAGTGTCTTCTTACGATGCCAAGAGATGTCGAGTTGTATCCTTTTTAGCTCACGTTGCGTCATAAATATATCTAGTTAAGACCCGCGGGGAATTCTGGCGGATAACTGGAGCGAAAATTTCGTCACCTGGGTGCTCATTATGGTGAATCTTTTATCTATTTCGCACGCGCGTGCGGATCTCGGTGTTTATCGCATAACTGCTTGCGAACTTCCGCGAAGAGCCGGGCGCGAATCGATGCGATAATCCTCGGTAATTTAAAACGCAGCCGACGTAAAGAAGAAAAAAAAATACGGGGACGTAATTTTCAAGATATTTCCGTAGCAAATTGTTTAATGAAGTGTTCGTCGGGACAAAGTCGAGCCGTATGAACTCGTGGAACGAGCGCGGCTGAGCGGCAATACAATAGCTTCGTGATAGTCCGCGTGCACTATTATTGCCCTCGCTGCGCCGCGCATTGTAGCAATAAAATTGCATGTTTTCAAAGAGTGTCTGCAAAGTCGGAAGCAAGCAGTTACCGTGGTCACGGTAGTTCGCTTGCAATAATGCGCCCGTCACTTAATTAATTTTTTTTTCCTTTCTGTTTACATCGACGGAGTATCGCGAGCGCGACCACATTTTTTTTCCGTACGCGATAACAATCATTACGCCGTATTATGTAAACTGCGATTAATCTCGTAGCCTTGCCGTACGGTGTGACTAACAGCCCGGCCGTTGTCAATGATAGCAGGCCCGCGATTGCGCCCCGCGCAATCTGATCGTGAGTGCGATTGATAAAGGAGCGCGTTACGTGAAGACGACTACAGCCCGGCCGTTTAGCGAGAAACGCGAACAAGACAATACATTCCTTGGGCGAGATACGCGCGGCGGGCGAGGCGCGTTTTGTTTGTACACGACGGGACCAAGCCTAGACGGCCAATATTTGTTGCGCACTGAAATATTGTCATTAATAGGCACTTCCGCGATTCGCAGGCCGCGCCTTATCCACTCGAGGAGGCAAATCTCACCGAGGGGCCGGACTTTTTCGGGCGGGTGGCTGCATCGACATCCCGCTGCGGGCAGGTTTGAAATACGCAGCGCTAAATTCTCGACGAATTTCAACCAATTTCCTACGTGACTGTTGCGCGCAACGCGACACGAGATAAGGGCTCTTCGCTCAAGCAATTTATTGGTTTAATTCGCGCAACAATCGTATTGGCGTTGCTGCACAATTGAATGTCCGCCGCTTTAGCTCGCGAAATTTGCCGTTGGAAAAATTATTTATCCGATACCGTTGATCCGGTGGCACTCGGCACGAAAAGCCCGCCCGGCGCCTGCGAGCAGGTTCGTGCGTGCCTGTGTGCCTATCGATTCGCAAATCCGCGCGCAATTTTGATAGATGTCATATACATGAATCGCTAGTTCCAGCGGGCCATCATTAATCTCCGGACGCATAAAGGCGAGCGTTATTTATTAAATCTCGGTGCGACACGACATATTTAACTGTTCGTCGCAGCGGCGATCGTAATCGGCGATCAAGACAGAGCGCACGGTCACAACTTGTAAAAAAAACATGCGTTTGAAATCAAACAAATTGGTTTGAATGTTGACACCTCACTAGACTTTTATTTAATCTCGAAGAAATTGCTTCTTCACCTTAACAAAAATTTTATTCGACTCAGACTGGAATTTCTAAGAGAATTCATATCTGTTTCTTCAAATCTAAGG